CTCATTATCTTCTGGTCCACTACTATTTTGATCAAAATCGGAATCAAAATAATCTTCCTCTTCTATAAATTCAATTAAAATGAGATGTGAATAATTCAATTAAACTACCAAAAATTATACCTTACCTTTAGTAACCATAAAATCATCATCTTCAGGTATCTCTTTAAACATATCTTCTAATTCCATTTCTTTTTCAATAAGTTCTCTCATCCTTCGAATTGATTAATGTCCGTTCATTAATGCAAATATCAAAAAATAATAAAAAGTGAATAATAAATAATACATGGAGTAAATGTAATAATAAAAGTAACTTACCGTGCGCCAGCGTTCGCACGACGCTCTCTTGTTGCAACCAGTGACATTTTGCTAATGTTAGTATATAGTGGGTTTCTTGACTAAGTCGATATTACGTATAAAAATCAGCCTATCCCGCTAACAGTAGCACTAAATACAAAATTAAAAATCACATGATAAGATTGGAAGGATTTCATGTGATTGGCTAATTTACGCCGATCTGACTTAATTACTGTAATACAGCACCTCTACGTTCTGTGCGCGGCACAGACAAAAATTTTTTAAAGCCCATTGATGTTGTAGTTAGCACTTAGACCAAAGTTAAAGATTAATTAGTTGTACATGAAAATCTCTCAAGCAAAACTTTCCGTTAGAGCTCTAAAGAGCTCTAAAGGTGGTTTTTTATGAGATTTTTGAGAAATTTCCTGATCGTGTTACGTTACATCGGATTTTGAAATCTCAGGGAATTTGCGCCACAAACCTGGCACAGGCTTTATTTTTATGAATCGACATAAATCAACCAATCATGAATCTGATCTTTGGTAATTATCTAGCCAATGAAAGACACCGAATTATCATTTAAGAATAAGCATCATGAAAGCTTATACACCCTCTTTCGAATCCACTTCGTCTTAAACGTTACATTATGGTGGTAAGTCGTTAATATTTGAGTGCGTGAGAGTGAAAACCTGGAAACCAATCATAGTAAATTATTAAATCGGTTTCCAGGTTTTCACTCTCACGCACTCATTTTACGTTCATCCATGTGATTTATAAATTCACGTTGAAGATCTAAAAATATACACATGAGAGTAACAAGTAAAAAAAATTTTTTAAAATTGATTGACACATATCAGGAAGGTTCTTTCAAACGTTTTGTCGAAGTTGGTCGTGTGGTTTTCATTAACTACGGCGAAGATGCGGGCAAGCTCGCTGTCATTGTTGATATAATCGATCATAATAGGGTACGTTTCATTACTTCTCATTCTCAAAAGATTTACAATCAAACACATGCTAGATCCAATATGAATATATTAATAATAATCAATATCAAAAATTGTAGGCCCTTATTGATGGCCCAACCACCGGTGTTACCCGTCATTCTCATGCATTCCGTCGGCTAACCTTAACTGATCTTGTAATTAAAGGCTTTCCTAGAGGCAGTCGTTCATCTATAGTAAAGAAATATCTCGCAAAAGAAAACATCTTGGAGAAATGGAATCAGACAGCATGGGCAAAGAAATTGGAAAGTCGTAAGAGGAGAGCCGCCTTGACAGACTTTGATAGATTCAAATTATTGAAGTTGAAGAAGCAGGTAAATCGGCATGTATTATATTCGTTTGAAATATTTTAGAACCTTAATTAAATATTCGATTTATAATACAACTCCTTAACTAGCGTCGTCGCATTATTCAATTGGAAGTTGCTTCCCTTAAAAAAAAGTGATTATAGTCGATTAAAAACTTTTAAGCTTAGCCGAATCGATAATTTTTGATACGACTAAGCCGGCTTGGTCAGTTATTATTTCAATATTAAATCTACAATAATAAATGCAAACGCCCGTTGGCCATGCTCGTACTTTATGTTTTATTTTTTTTTTTGCATAAAAAAAGATAAACAAAATATAATAAAAAAAAGGAATTATCAGTCATTATAAAATCGAAGCGACTAATGAATTTTTTAAAAAAATCGAATTATGAATTTGTTTAAAAAACTCAGTTTTATTTACGAAACTGCCCTTTTCGTCCTAACAAGAAAATGTTCCCGAAAAAATTTGTGTTAGAAGCTTTTTAACCATTATTTTACCAAACATTAATTTAATCTTAATCAATTGTTTGTTTTTAAAATAATTTTTTTTTAATTTACCTTGTTTTCAAGCGCCCTTCTCTATGGTTAATAAAATGATATGATTGGCTAAAAAAAAATCCATTTCGGGTTCATCTTTTTTTTCACAGAGTTACTCTAATTGGCTGATTTGCAATAAATTTTCACTTACCTTATTTTTTTATATCTTCTAGCAATGATAAAATTTTTTTATTTTTAATTCTACAAGCTTGTAGAATTGGTAATTATCGAGAAAATTTCATTTAAACTTTTTTTACTTTTTTAAAAAAAACATCGAAAATCGAGAACAATATGGCTATAAGGCCCAAATATACCGTCAAAATTGCTGGCTGATAAATTGTCTCATTTCGTGATTAAATAAGTGTTTTAGAGTTATTATTCATTATTCAGAATTAAAAAGAAACACAAAAATCCGACCAACCAAACGAATTTTTGAGCAAAACGAAAAAATGAACTTTGTGTGACCTAATAGCTTTGCCTCTCAAACTACCTTATCCGACATTTCATATGATCATGTGAATTTTTTTGCCATGCATGAAATTACGTAATCAGTTTTGCAAAATATCACAGAAAAAACTTCACATGGTCATATTATCGGATAACATCATTATTGAACATACGTACGACAAATAACAGTCAATTTTTTTTTTTTCAACGGAGTTAATTTCACTCATGTGCTGCTACGCAGCACATGGAGTGACATTAACTCCGGCAAAAAAAAATTGCCTGTTATTTTTTGTCGTCTGTCCAATAATGTACACATATATGGTGTCTCGGCCCTTACTTCAAAATGAATACGATTATAATATCACGAGGTCGAAGTACTGCTATTTCTTTAATTAACGGCACAGTAAACTTTACAAGATATGATCCACGTGCTTTGAATGCTTCCATAGAAGTTAAAAAAGTTGGATCAGCCTTACTATATGAATGTATCCACTTTTGCGCTTGTTAGCTGAAATAGTAAAAGGGTATGAACTGGTTTAGTT